AACCAGAAGTATCAGCTAGCAACAACAAAAAAGAAGGTAACGAGGGAGTAATGTAGTTACAGAACCTCCAGATGAGGAGGAAACCAAGTAGATAGAAACAAACCGAACTGTAACCTTAAAACTAGACCAAACCTTATCCTACCTGTAGCTTAACCCCTGGTAGGATAAGGTTTGGTCTAGTTTTAAGGTTACAGTTAGGTTTATTATCCTACCTGTAGCTTAACCCCTAAGGAGCTCTGGTAGCGTAGTGGTTACGATTCGGGCTGTGAACCGCAAGGTCAGCAGTTCGAAACTACCAGCTGCTCCGCGGGAGAAAGATGAGGCTTTCTACTCCCGTAAAGATTTACACCCTCGGAAACCCTGTACAGGGTCGCTATGGGTCGGTTCCGACTCCATGGCACATAACAACAACAACAACAAGCTTAACCCCTATCCCTAATACTAACTCTAGTCCTAAGTATAATCCTAACGCTAAATGAAATTTCAAGGTTAGCTTAGACCTAACTAGAGTCTTAATTCTTTCCTCCTATCCCCCTAAAAAAATAAGTTTCAAAATATTCAACAATAAAATAACATTTGGGGGATTTTCAAAAGGAATCATCACTTGATATCAAAATATTGCAGTTGTATTACAAAACAATTATGGAATCTTTTGTAATTAACTTTTGAGTGTGAAGTTTTATTTTTAAAAAAAGGAAATTGGGGGAATTTCCTAGGATTTCTTATGTAAACGCTAAGTTGATGTAACAAAAAACAAAACAAACTAGAGATGTTCAAGTCAAATAAAAATGTGTTTTCTTTTATGCAACTCTCTGACCAGTCCAGGGAGTGAGAAAAGCATCTGCATTTGACAAAGGATCCCATCCCCAGGATGTTATCCTGGTTGGTCTACATGATCATGACTGGGTCTCAGTAATGTCTGCCTCTATTCCACTAGAAGGGAGAAAAAATAAATTTAAGTCAGCAAATTCCTATTACAACAGTGCATTGGCAATTGCATGTATTTCCATTCACATTTTATTGGAGAAAATAAAGCTGTATGGCCACTTCTACCTGAAGCGGAAGCTGGGAACTCTCAACTCGAGTTGAGCATCTAGAAAAACCAAAAAAAAGATTCAAACTGTCACAGTTTCCCAAACAAATCCAGTAATACTGTGTTTATCTAATGGTCAGACTTTTGATCAATAACCAGGTTAATAAGCCATAAACTTTTCATCTGTGAAAATCCCTTGAACAGAATGGACAGTAGTCCCAAAGCCTTGGTCTGTATTCCATATGAAAAGAAAACAGTTATTCCACTTCTAGCAAAACTAGTGAAGAGCAACCTTGAATCTGTGATTTTCCTCTGGCAAGCTTTGGTTTTCTCTAGGCTGCTGCTGGGAAAAAATAAAAAATCTCAGTGATGTGGAAAGGTAGAAAAAAGCCACTAGGTACACACACACATACACAGACTATGGGCAAAGTGACAGCTAACAGCAGGGACAGAGACAGAGCATACCAAGGAGACAGACACACCAGTCTAGCATAATTTAATGCAGAGAAAGTATCCCTAAACACATTTGAATGTTCTATGAAGGTTTTACTTTGTTGCAGCCAAATACAGAAGTAGATGTTCAAGAGGGTGAACTGTGTGAAAATTATCTTTAGAAGAGGATGTGAGATTGAGTTTTACATCTGTCCTCTCCATCTCTCTCCTCTTTTCTCTCCTTATTCCACACTGAAAGCCAATCCTGGGATAAATTTGCATTCTAAGGAAGTGAAATAAAATGAATGGTAAGAAAATAACTTTAATGAGAAAAGAAATCTCAAAACACTTAAAACCTAATGGGACGAAAGCTATGTAATCAACAAGGAAGATTAAATATCCATGTATTCACACAGTAAAGCATTCAATACAGTTTATTTCTTTGATAAAATGAATACATTCCCATGCTTTAAGAGTAGATTTTAGGAGAATCAATTTATTCTGTAAACTTTCACCCAAATTAAAATTAAGAAATTTTTTTTTTTTTTTTTAGAAAAGTACATTTTTATTGACATAAACTTATTACCCAATAACCAGAAAACCAAACCCATTGCCATTAAGTCCATTCTGACTCATGGCAACCCTCTAAGGACAGAGACTAATTGCCCCAAAGAGTTTCCAAGGGTGTAAATCCTTATAGAAACAGAATGCCACATCTTTCACCTTTGGAGTGACTGGTGTGTTCAAACTGCTTTTTGTTAGTAGTTGAGTGCTTAACCAGTGTACCACCAAGACTTGCATTACTCAATAGAATTAGGTAAGTCAGGTATTTAATTATAAGCGAAATCAAAGGAGTTTGACAAAGTTTCTCATTCTCTTTCATGCTTTACTAAATGAAGAAAACACTTAATGACTGCTGGTGGTGGTGTTGATTGCCGTGGAGTTGGTTCCCACTCATAGCGACATTGTAAAAGGGCTTCCAAGGCTGTCCGTCTTAACAGGAATAGAAAGCCTCATCTTTCTCTTGATGATCAATAGAAAATCTTAATAAGTTTAAAGCTATAGCTCACATTGATTGTAATAGTTGTGTGTGGTTTGTGTTTGGATATGTTTTGTTTTAATTTTTTTGAATCAAGAAATTGGACTTGAGAACAAGTGTTATGAAAGGACATTATTCAATTAATTTAAGAATGTCATATGCCATCATTACAACTACTTGTATCCAAAGGAAGAAAATAATACACACACTATTTCAAATGGCAATAATTAGAAAGCAATTTACATTTGTTATAAGAATATGTGCTCATACTTAGATTTGTTTCTGATTTCTGGGTATTCCAGTATTTCAAACTGAGAAAGTAACAACATAAAGATATGAGTTGAAAAAGTTATAAAGCTTCTTTTCTCTTCAACTCAGTAAAGCTAAGGACTAAGAATTTGGTTCACCTTCATCCAATAGTCTCTGTTCTTAAAAAGGTCAAACCTCATAAACCCACGTGCCTGTGAAAGCATAGCATTTAATACTATGGCTAAGTAGTAAGGTGATGACTTTGCTGGATACAGTGGAAGCCTGATGGAACGTAAAATGAAGAAACCTAGCTTCATGTCTCTCTGACTCCTACTCATTATGGATCTTGGGGTGAGCTGCCGATTGTCTTCATTTCCTTATTTATACAATAAGGATGATCATGTTTAACTCAAACACATTTTGTGATAATTAAATATGTTGTTGTTAGGTGCCATTGAGTTGGTTCCAACTTACAGCAACCCTATGCACAACAGAATGAAACACAGCCCGGTCCTGTGTCAAACTCACAATTATTGCTATGCCTAAACTGACTCCACGGCACACAACAACAACAAGCCTATGGCTGTCGCCACTGTGCCATATTAAATACAGTGTCTAGCAGACACAAAGCAGTGTCCAGGTTTGGTTCAACAAACATGCTTTGAACCCACAGCTTTTGTGAAGCATGGACTAGAGTTTGCCAGTAAAGTCATAGGTGATGGTCGTCCTTGGGGAAAATCAGTTTGTTGGGAGGTAAGAGACTGAGGAGACAGGGAATAGATAATTTCAACAAAATGTAGGATATTTGTTAACTATTCTCTTGGTTGTGGTTTGAATTGCTGCTGGAAGATTTCAGAGAAGTGTTAGACTGGAAATTAGGCCTTAATGGTAGATAGGATTTTGAAGAGCAACAGTCTAAACCAAACAGGGGTACATTCTTAAATTGTACTGATTTGATGGTTCTCATTTTCTTTGTAGCAGACATGAGAAACTAAAATATTTTCCAAATGCTATTGGGCTTAAATAAAGGAGCTATGAGATATAGCAGTACAGGTTTTTTATGGTAACAGAAGCCAGAAAATCCACTGGGTGAATACTACACGTGTAGATAATTGAGAGCAGGTGTTTGTTCTTTTGCTTTATGGAAATGCAAATACTCAAGAAAAATGCTCATTTGATTTAAGAGGATAACTACACAAATTTTATACTTCAAACTAACACTGGACAAGTTTAAAAATTACTCTATCCTAGATTTAACAGGAGAAGGGGAAAAGGAGAAAATATTATCAGCATTTCATTGGTTTTCAAAACTGCTGCTTCGATACACAGGGCAAAGGCTTGCCAGAGCGATTTACCATCTCAGAACAATTTGTCCACTTCACTTAGAAACCTGAAATGTGTTTTGGCCAATAAATCTAAATTTATTTTGTAGTAGTCATTTTTCTTAATGGAAGTGTTTTCCAGATGTTGCCTAAGTCTAGTCGTCTGGGCCCTCTTCCAATAAATGAGGAAAGTTTGATTTCATAGGTTGTCACTGTTGATTTTGTTTAACCTTTGGGCTGATTGGTCCATCCCAGTATGTTTGCCCTGATATATACAACTTCCAGGACATTAGAGAAATTCATCTATCTTTTGACAGGTAAGTGTCAAAGTTAACTTCTTTCATGCAATGAAATGTGCTTTTGGTTCAAAAGGGATATATTTTATTAAAGATGTTTTTAAGAGATGTATAAGGTTAGTAGTTGGAAAGCTTTGAAAAGAATCACAGTTAAGCAAACACCTGTTGAATACTTATAAATTTATTATGAGTTAAAGGAAAGTTGGAACAATATCTGCTTTTGTGAAATTAAGTTTTACTGAGGCTGGTTATTTTTTCTGTAAGATAGGATTTAAATCTTGTGCTGTAAGTGCATGCTGCAATTTGTACAGAGTTGAAGATAAAGTCTGTTTTCAATTTGGCTACAGTAGTAAGAGGGTCAATAGCAGGGCTTGATAATAGTGGCCTGGTGATAGATCTGAATTCTCCATATGTGTAAATATAATGATCAAATATTTATTATGAGATTAAAACTGATTTCTTTTTAAAATTTCTTGTTTCCAGAAAAGGATGGTTTAATTACTAATGCACCTTTTAAAAGTTACTGAGATATTGCATGTAACAAGGGCATATTTTAGCACTGTGATTAGAGAGCAGTTTCTTGATACTTTCATTTTGTTTTCAGTGAGGACGCAGCACCTGAAACAACCATGGAGTGGAAAATACTTCCTATTTACTTGTTCCTGCTACTTTCTGTTTTTTTGATTCAGCAAGTCTCTTCTCAAGGTATCAATACTGTTAAAATACTTTCATTCAACAAATGTTGCATATCATTCAGTTTGGATTTTCATGACAAGAAAAGAATTTCTAGAAATTTATATGTTTTTTAGTTTAATTGAGAGCCTAACTAACATTAAAATCATGTGAAGTATGTCATATAATTAAAAGCATTTGGGGAGCCTCATTTTTTCTTTCCCGTATTATAAAATCTTTCGGGAAGGACGAGCTTTTGTGTATAGAATACTTTGGGGACTTATATTTTCCTATTGTTCTCTTGAGAGTTTAAAAAATACACACACCTATATGAGAGGGTTATGCCAGAGCTGTTTGACAGCCTCACAATAACTGCAAAGAAAAGTATTTAAATAGCATATATATATATATGTATGTATTTTGCTTACATGTTGAAAAAGAAATTTAGTGTTTTACATCAAATAAATGATCTTCAAGTAACTTGCTGTGGCATCATGCAGGCATAGATATTTGGTCATAGTAAACATTTACTGGGTTTCAAATGGCATTTTTTAAATCTTGAAATTGCTCTCTTTCTTATAAAGCCTTACACAGATACAAACTTACACAGATGTGAAAGCCATTTGGTATTACAACATTGAACCATTCACGCTCCTCCAAGAAAAGAGTCCGTTCTGCCTGAACAGTACTTGTTATTCACATTTAAGATTACATATTGTGGTAAGCAGACTGAGAGAAGTATGTAGCAAGCAATCTAGGTTGATTAGTGACAGTAATGTCAAGTTCTAGATTTTTGTTTGTATTCATTTGATGAGCAAAATCTGCAGGAAGAAAAATCGAGACTCATGATGGTTATGGTGACATTGCTAAAGTAGAAAATTACAGTAAAATAACTAAAATTCTGAACGTTAAAGATTTCCAGAAATGCTTTTAAAAAAAGATAGCTAAAAACATGAAATCATATGTTGCTGTTGTTGTTGTTAAGTGCTGTTGAGTCGGTTCCAACTCATAGCGACCCTGTATAGGGTTTGTGAGGAGCAGCTGGTGAGCTTGAACCGCCAACCTTTCGATTCAAACCAATTTTGCAGTCCAGCGCATTAACAGACCTGCACCACATCAGGACTCCAAGAAAGCATACATAATTATATATATTCAGGGAGGTATAATGACTTGTCAGGTATCTTTAGACCCTTCGGCTCTTTCAGGATAAAATCAGAAGTCTTATACACTGGGAACATTTTCTAACTATATTTTCTATTGTGATGCAATTAGTTCATCACTAAAATACTTCTGCTTTCCCTTAAATAAATTAAATTCACATTAGTGGCTATAATTAATAGTAATAAAAATAGGACACTTGATTTAAGAAAATAAAAATTTTCCTGAAAGAAAATTGATTTCCATTTCAGAAATTTCCCACCTGTCAAAGAATAATCTTTTGATTTTTGTCTTGTCTGCTTCTCTTGCTTTCTCAACCTCTTTTCATTCCCTTGTTTATATATATTTATATACATACACTATATATGCAATTTTATATGCACTGTACACATATGTATGCAAGAAGTTCTGAAAGTTGTTTTAATCGTGATTGTTTTAATTGCATATTAAGACTAACATTTCTGGATTCATTATTTTGAGATTTTTGCAGTGTGTTTCAACGTCCATCTATGGATTTAGAACATTGCACCTGCCATTCTATTTCTGAAATGGATTCTATTGTTATAATCCAGAGGCTATCTCTCATGAAGGTCCTTAAGGAGTTTTCCCAAGTGATTTTTGAAGTTTGAAGTTAGATTGCTGTACTTGGTTTGTTGTCCAGCAGAACTCTTCATCACAGTCATAGTCGTATTCATGCCCAGGTGAAATTTCAGAGTCTGTTGGTTCCATGCTTACTCTAGCAGTGGCTGTAAGCATCCAACTTCTTCCATATTTGAAGAACCCGGTTGTCCCTCCTGATGAAGAGGAGGAACCCTAGTGCAGTCTGTGCTGGTATAAACCCAAGCTCAAACGTATTGTCAAGGAGCTGATTCCCACTCATAGCCACTGTATAGAACACACTAGAACTCCCCCATTGAGTTCTCAAGAGTACAAATCTTTGTGGAACCAACTGTCACAACTTTATCACACAGAGTTACCTGTTGAGTTTGAAGCACCACCTTTAGGTTAACATCTAAGCACTTAACCACAGCGTCAGGGCTCCCACTGGCTTAACCAACCTGCTTTTAATTCATTATCGGGCATGAGAGACAATGTGATTAGGTAGGAAAAGCACTGAGTTAGGAATCAGATTTGAGAGTTCAAGTTTGGGGTTAGTACTATTCTCCTGTAAACATCTTTATAAACACAAGAGATAACGTATGTAATGCCAGCACAGAGATGCTCAGTAAATAACAGCTGTTGTTAAGTGCCGTTGAGTCGCTACTGACTCATGGCGACCCTGTATAGGGTTTCTGAGGAGCAGCTGGTTGGTTTGAACTGCTGACCTTGTGGTTCACAGTCTAGTGCTGATCCTGCAACTCCACAACAGGATCACTAAATACAGCATCAGTTGCAGCTGTAACTGCCATTCCTCCCTTCTTCACCAGGGCAATTACCCTCTTGATGCAAAACAATCATTTGCCTGGTTTGGAAGTGCATTTATCTTCTCAGTCTGGTTGCAAATCAAGAGTTCTATCAAAGCCATGTAAAAGACCAGCTAGAGATCACCTGGGCTTTGATTCTATCCAATCAATGAAGCTCTCTCACCAAGTGGTTTGTCCTCCTTATTAGAAAGCACCCTTTCTGCAAAGTGATTTGGCCATGTTTATGCTAGTATTATGTAATTTTAGATTTATCAAGCTGTGCAGGGAGATGTGGGGAAGGGTATTCTAGAGATGCTGTCTGCAACTGTGATTATAACTGCCAACACTACATGGAGTGCTGCCCTGACTTCAAGAAAGTCTGCACTGTGGGTAAGTCCTGAGAGCTGCTGTCTCCTCTAAACACTCACTGTCCTGCCAGGCTCTTCTTGTCCAGCAAGGTTCCCCTTGTGCCCCCTGGCAGTGTTGTGTTCACACTACTTCATTTCTTTCGCTTAAGTGTCTTTCCCTCCACTTTCATAAATGTTGCGGTGTGCTGGTCCTGAGGATTCTGTCAAAGCTTGTGGTTACTGGGACTGGGTGAGGAGCACCTGGATATCTGTCACTTGTAAGAGTTTATTGGGTATCTCCCACTAAAATGGCCTGTTTTAAACCAGTCCCCCAGTCCAGCCAATTGCCATTGAATTGACCTTGACTCATGATGACCTCAGAGCAGGACTGTGCTCCACAGGGTTTCCAATGGCTGATTGTTCAGAAGCATATTAAATCAAGCCTTACTCAAGGTACCTCTGGGTAGACTTGAGTCTCCAAACTTTTGGTTAGAAGCTAAGCATATTTACTGATTGCACCACCATGGCACCTTGTTTCAGAGTCCTTAACTACTGTGACTCAGGATTATCCAGTAAACAGTAATCAGTAATTACCAACCAACAGAGAAGTAATTGCTTAGTGATGAAGCCCTTTAATGTCTAATTTTAGCAAAAGAATCCACAGATATAAAATAATTTTGATTGTCTAATATTTAACATTTTTATAATAACATGTTTCTAATTTACCTAAAAATGATACCTATGCTGCATTGTTTAATATTTGGTCGAGTTTCAGTTAAAATGCAAAGGCTCTGAATTTTTAAAGAATGAATGATATTTCTTCACTTGAACACATTTGGAGCCACTTTCCTATAACATTTCAAATGTAATGTGTGAAAATTATAATCAAAATTCTTAACTTTTATTTGCTTTAGAATTTGCTTGAAAATCAATACAGTGTTGTAGCACTATATACATGTTATATAATGATTTCGAATAGCGCTTTGTACATAACTGTATCTGTAAACAGGGTTTTGTTGTTTTTAATGAGTAGAACTATCTTACATAGGCCATGCCATGAGATTAGGCTGAGATGAAATCTTTCAAATTCTTTGCCAAGTTTGTTGTAATGTCTTTGTGTTATAATTTTCCAGCTTGAACAGTGACCCATTTATATTAACCTAGCTCAATGGCATATATTGTTCCAGGAGCTGAACATTTAATTAATATTTTCTATTAAAATATATTAATATATAAAATATATTAATATTAATATAAAACATATTTATATAAAAATATATATTAATAGAAAACATTAAAATAAAGAGGAAAATATGGAGGGATTTCATATTGAGGATACTTCACTATTTAGGCACTAATTAATTTTCTATTATCCATATTCATAAATGACTCAGGGAGCAATTGTTTGACCTCAGGAAACCATATTGCTTTTTGACTTGGGCTGTACTTTGAACATCATTCAGTTTTGATTGGACAATGTACTTTAAATTCCAAATAAGAGTTAGAAATACACTTTTGCAACATAGTCAACTACAGAGTAGGAAATGGCTACTGATACATGGGTTTCACTGTGCAATCAATAATCCCAAATGCTTTGTTTTGCTCTGGGTAGAGCTTTCCTGTAAAGGCCGCTGCTTCGAGTCCTTTGAACGAGGGAGAGAATGTGACTGTGACTCACAGTGTAAGAAGTACGACAAGTGTTGCCCTGATTATGAGAGCTTCTGTGAAGAAGGTAAGTTTCACAACATCAATCGATGCCTTTTAGTATACTCAGATCTGTTCTAAGACTTTTATTTTACTAACATTTAAGCTATTCCATAATCATTTTGTTTCATGAAGATGAATTACAGAAGGAAAACTTCCTCCCACAGCAATCCCTGCCCAGTCAGGCTGCAGAAGCCTGCGAGGTCCCCAGGTTGAGTGGCAGACTGCAGAGTGGCTGCTTGTACCTGCTTTTTATTTGTTTAATCGGATTCAATTTTAGCTCAAGCCAGTAATAAGCAACTCACTTGGTGATTTGTCTCACTCTAATTGTGCTGACTTTACAAAGTGAACTGTCCTTTAACCTCTGTGCTTTTGGTTTCAATATGAGTATATACTGAAGGATACTGTTGATAGCTCCAGCTTCTCTGAGCAAGAAAATCTCCTCTAAAGCATTACAAACTGACTAGTCTAAGCCACTGAGTTTACACGCAAAACATTTAAGAAGTTTCTAATTCTGAGTTGTATTCTTCGTAAAAGCTCTCTCAGTAGTAGTCTCTGTACAAAAGGTTGTATTTCACCTTATTGCTGCCTAGTTAATTACTCAGTGATCCTATAGGATAGAGTAGAACTGCCCCACATCTTCCTCCCATCGAGTGGCTGGTAGGTTTGAACCACTGACGCTAGCAGTTGACTGTGTATTTAAAATCCTCCTCTCAGTTTATAGGCTCTGAAGATAAGTCAGTGTATAACAAAGTCCTTCAGGCTTTGAAAAGAGATTCTAAAAAATAATGATAGAGCATTTTCTTCTTAAAACTAAATGTGTGTTCTCAAACTCTGCTTTCTTAAAACAATATTTGTGGAGGTAAAAGTGAAAAATAAGCATTGCTTGCATAATCTTATCATTTTATTTAAACAAGTCTGTGCCTCCTACTTTAGAACAGCAGAGCAAGATAGGGTTGAAAACTGTTCATCAGCATAGCTGGGGAATGTTTCTTAAATGTTGAATGTTATTTGAAAACATTCCCAAAAAAAGCTAGAGACAACACCCTGGTAATCAAAACCTCAGAGCTCTGAGTTCCTACTGCTTTCAGAGGGAATGCGCTTAAGTTTAAATACTCAAAGGCAAAAAGGGAAAAGAGATAAAGGCAATTCTAGTCAACTTCATTTATAGAATTCACAGAGATGGTCTGGCCCCAATTGAAAATAAAGGAACTGCTCAGAGCTTCAATACTTTATTAAAAAAACACAACTATTTTGAGACTTACCACTTAAGGGTTTCATTGTTGCTACAAATAGTGCTCATAGGCATCTGTCTCTATAACTTAAAAATGGTAACATGTCAACAGTTGAAGGAACCAAGCAGTTCAACCTCTTCATAACGTGGGTAAGGAAACTAAGCCCAAGAGACTGATAGCTTTGCCCCACATCACTAGGTAGAACATAATGAAACTGTTTTCAAATGGAGGCACTTGGTGTTATTGTTGGGTGTGGGGGGAAGAAAGGGAGGTGACAATTGTTAGTTCATAGAGACCACAGCTGTGGAGATCTGAGATGTCTGGTGGAGCTGCAGGATGATTGTTCTGTTTTTTATCTTCCAAAAGTCCCTCTCTTTCCCTTCTGGTTCCTAATTATAAAAATTGGAAAGAAAAAAAAAATGACCCTTGTCTTTTCTTCTAGTCATAATAAGCTGGCAGAAGAGATCAATGGTTTTAAAAAAATACATAGCAACCCACTGAAGCTGTTTATTTTTGAGAAAGGCCACATATTTTGAGGAAAAGCTTGTGAAGGTGTCAAATTTTTACACGGGTAAATATGTAATAATAAAAAAGTAAGTTGGTATCATTTGTTTTAAATTAATATAAAAACAAATCAACACAATTATTATATTCCTCTTCTCAAGAGCATGAGTATCCTGCTATTCACATTCAGTATTATTATAATCCCAGAAATGTGACACAAGAGATTGAGCTCACAGAGTGAGGTATTGTTTGTCAAACACTTTCAGAAATCATCTAGAATGAATACCTCATTTTGCACAAAAGTAAACAGAGATCAAGAGGGGTTAGCCCATTTGACCAAGGTCATAGTGATACCAGCCTCCTGGCCTAAGATTAGAATACAGACCTTCTGATTCTTGAGCCATTATTCCCTGTCATAATTTAGTATTTGAGAAATCATTTTCTATAGCCACAATCCTTAGTTTGTTGTTTTAAGTGTTGGACAAGAGCCTGCCTACACTGATTTTCACCAGCATCTACTCTTGAAGCCAGGCGCCGCTGTGCTACTTGCTGATGAATATAAATGTTAACCCACTGTCTTGCTTGGCCTCAGTGCATAACCCCACACCACCACCAACTTCAAAGACTGTACCTCCGGCTCCAGCAGCGCCTCCCATCATCAAATCAACCACCAAACGTTCACCTAAATCACCAAAGAAGAAGACTAAGAAAGTTGTAGAATCAGAAGAAGTAATGGAAGGTAGGAAGAAGACAGTTGTAGCCAAAGGGGGATTTCTTAGATGAAATCACCTGTAGATGGACTATTACAAGACTGTTCCCAGAGAGCAGGGTAATGAGTCATGGATGGCTCATTATCAGTTTGTTTTTTGTCTTGTTTTTTTAAAGAAAGCCTTACTTGCTTTGAATAAAAATTTAAGTCAATTTAAGCCAAAATAAACACTTGGCGATTTTATACTCTTTCCTTGTTTACCAAACCTAATATGGCTCTGGGTTAAAATTGTCATAAGCAAAAACTGCCATGTGAAAAACTACCAAAAGCCCATGATTTTCTTTGTAGGACTTTGAGAAAATTTTGACAGATTTTGGAACGTTCTGCCAGTATCCATAGTGTACTCACCTTCCTTTAACTGCCAATTATAATTTAAAAGACAGTTGATCCTATTACTGATAATAGCTGAACATAGGTATTTGTAGATCAGTAAGCAGCAACTTTTGTATTTGGATTGGCAGTTCTTTATTTTGTTTTAAATTACAGTCCGTGTGATCAAATTTTTTATTTGATTTATAGAACATTCAGTTTCTGAAAATCAAGAGTCCTCCTCCTCCTCCTCCTCCTCTTCTTCCTCTTCAAGTATTCGGAAAATCAAGTCTTCCAAAAATTCAGCTGCTAATTCAGAATTAAAGAAGAAATCCAAAGGTTTGAGCATTGATAAAGATCAAAGACTATATCAATGCCATATTAACCCATAAATTGTTTAAAAATAATATGTGTTGGTAGAATAATGAGGGTATTTCAATATTTTGGGGATAGCACATAACTATGTAAAACTTACCTTAGAAGATAACCAAATGAATGCTCCATTCAGGAATATTCATGGCAAACAAGTAAAAGCCACCCTTCAAAGCAAAGGATAAGAAGATACCATACAAACAACTGTGGAACCTCAGGATAGCATGAAATGATGAGAATTCCTCTCTACTTGATATTCTTCTTCTTCCTCTATTTCTCTTGTATTAGTTCATTTTTCATAAGTTCTATCTTCTATGCACTATTTTTATCTACATTTGACAGATCCTCATTATTTTCCTAATAAAATTGCATGTCATATCTAGTTTGTTTCCTAGTAGATACTGTACTACAGTGTAGGCTATTACCTCCTAAAAAGAGATTTCCTTCATTATGCTTTATTTCCTGAAATCCTAAAATATATTCTATTTTTTTAGGAAATATGATACTGGACTTATGAAGAGCTCTATTTCTGGGACAATTGTGATCTCCTCTAAAGCATTACCTCTAGCTGAACTTACAATTAGTCTGAGTTGTACAGAATCTTACACATGATACATGTTTGCTAAATGACACTCACTTCAGTGATGTGCCCCTTAGGCTTTGCAGCTCACTTACGGCACAGTTGCTATGGAAAATCCTGCTAAATATGCCGTCATTGCACCATAATCTCCTTCTACTTCCCCTGGCACTGCCATGTTTGGGTGGATAGAGGGAAGACAGCAGCTAATAGCCATGAGTACAGTAATAGGGCTGAGCCAGGACTAAGGTAATTCAAGCAGATTTCTACAGGGTGTAGTTGTAGAGGTCTCAGACTCAATTGGCACAGAGAAACTCAGAGGCATTAGAACTAGGTTTTCAGGAGGAAGAGGCATTTTGAGTAATGCAAAATAGGTATAAACAGAAAACAATAAAAAGGAGGTAAATTTGTGTTAGTGATTTCTAAGTTGCCATTGGCTTCCATGTATTAAGAATGTAGGGCTTTACTTGGACTTTGCAACCTTATGCCTTTATTTTGTAAAACAACCCAATAAATTAGGCTTAGGTATTTACCATTGTATAACCAATTAATGGACACACTAGACATTAGCAATTTGTCTAGCTAGCCAATGATGAGGATGAGGTCGTTATATCACTATAAAAGACAAAAACCAATAATGACAAGATCTTTTGCTTTGTTTTTTTAATCTAGTACAAGAGGACAAGAAGAAAAAAGCCCCTAAAAGGACACCTCCTCCAGAACCATCAGATGAAGCTGGAAGTGGACTGGATAATGGTGATTTCAAGCTCACTCCAACTCCTTATATTCCTACCACCCAGAGCAACAAAGTTACCACGTCCCCCAAGATCACAACAAAACCATTAAATCCTAAACCCAGTCTTCCACCGAATCCTAATACAAGTGCTGCTAAGGCCACATCCAAAGAGACATCTTCAACAGCCAACAAAGAAACCACAGTAGAAACTCAAGAGAGTAGTACAACAAATAAACAGACTTCATCTAGCACAAAAGAGAAGACTACTTCAGCTAAAGAGACACGAAGTGCAGAGAAAACATCTGAATTGCCTACTAAACCAACATCTCAAGCCGAAACTATAACTGAAGCCCCTGCTTTAACCACCACGAAGGAATCTTCACCCATCACTCCCAAAGAGCCTGAGACCACCACCCTCAAAAAGCCTGCACCCACCACCACCAAAAAACCTGAGGTGACAACCCCCAAGGAGCCCGAGACCACCACCCTCAAAGAACGTGCACCCACTACCACCAAGGTGCCTGACACCACCACCACCAAAGAGCTGAAGACCACCCCACCCATGAAGCCTGCCCCCACCACTCCCAAGGAGTCAAAGATCACCACCTCTAAGGAGCCCGAGACCATTCCCCCCAAAGAGCCTTCACCCATCACCACTAAGGAGCCAGATACCACCACCACCACCAAGGAGCCCAAGACCTCCGCACCCAAGGAGTCTGCACTCATCACTACCAAGGGGCCCGAGGTTACCACCCCAAAGCAGCCCATAACCACCACCACCAAGAAGCCCACGACCACCCCTTCCAAGGAGACTGGACCTACAACCCCAAAGGAGTCTGTAACCACCCCCAACGAGGAATCCACTCCTACTACCCCCGAGAGGCCTGCTCCTACTACTCCCGAGAAGCCTGTTCCTACCACTCCTGAGAAGCCTGCTCCTACCACTCCCGAGAAGCCTGCTCCTACCACCCCCAGGAAACCTGCTCCTACCACCCCCGAGAAGCCCGTTCCTACCACCCCCGAGGAGCCCGTTGCTACCACTCCCGAGGAGCCCGTTGCTACCACTCCCGAGGAGCCCGTTGCTACCACTCCCGAGGAGCCTGCTCCTACCACTCCCGAGAAGCCTGCTCCTACCACTCCCGAGAAGCCTGCTCCTACCACCCCTGAGAAGCCTGCTCCTACCACCCCCAGGAAACCTCCTACCACCCCTGAGGAGCCCGTTGCTACCATTCCCGAGGAGCCTGTTGCTACCACTCCCGAGGAGCCTGTTGCTACCACTCCCGAGGAGCCTGTTGCTACCACTCCCAAGAAGCCTGCTCCTACCACCCCCGAGAAGCCTGCTCCTACCACCCCTGAGAAGCCTATTCCTACCACTCCCAAGAAGTCTGCTCCTACCTCTCCTGAGGAGCCTCCTTCAACTACCACCAAGCCTTCTTCAACCCCCAAGGTTCCTGCTAAACCAACTCTTGAGTTACCTGAAGAACCCACACCAAAGATTCCTGAAAACAGTTCTGAGGAGCCTGCTGTACTGACAACCAAGGCTCCTGAAGTGACCAAACCTAAAATTACAACTGCTGCACCTAAGATGTCAACGAAAAGCCCCACGACTACGACAGAAAAGACGGCTGAATCTAAAATAACAAGTACAACCACCCAAGTAATAACTACTACAACACTTAAAGCAACAACTATTGCACCCAAAGTAACTACTGCAACAAAGAAGACTACAGCTGAGACCACAAAGAAACCTGAAGAAACAACAGTTACACCAAAAGATACTGCTACTAATTCTAATGGGCCGACTCGTAAGCCTCAAAAGCCAACCAAAGCACCCAAAAAGCCCAAGTCAACACCTAAAGTGAAAAAACCGAAGGCAACACCGACTCCCTCAAAGATGACTACATCTACTATGCCTGAATTGAGACCCACCTCTGTAGCTGAAGCCACTACCAGTCCTAACCAAGCTCCAAACTCAGAAATAGTTGAAGTAAATCCAAAGAATGAAGATACTGCTGAAGGAGGAAATCCTCATACGATTCCCAAGCCCCCTATGTTAACTCCTATAGTTATTTCAGGCACTGATTCCTTAGTGAGAGGACCCCATCAAGGAATTAGCACCAATCCAATGCTTTCAGGTAATAATAATCAGGTAAACATCCATTTTTTAAAACTGGTCGTTAACTTGTCCCTGGATGGCACAAACAGGTTGCATGTGACTACTAAAAAATTGGTCTGGACCCAACTAGTGACAGCAGAGTCCGGGGTTGGTGCTATAGGATAAGCATTTGACTGCAAGATTTGTTTGAGTGGCAAGGTGGGCAGTTCAAACTCACCAGTCACTCCTTGGAAACCCTATACAGGGTTGCTATAGGTTGGAACCAACCTGATGGCATAACCCCAAGTAACAACCTGGGCGTTTTTTATTAACTTTTATTTATCTAAACTATTATACCCAATTATCATTCTCCTGATACATGATTCAGAATCCTGTTCTTGTTAACCTGTGAGATTCTACACTTTCTCTGTTGGTATGCAGAAGAATAATCATTATTTTATTAACTGCAGAAAACTGAGTATTAACCAGTGAAAACCTATTATTAGGAATTTAATATGAATTTCTTTTCCAAACCACATACAAATGGCAAACAGAACAACAACAAAAAAATCCATTTAATTAAATCATATAATAAATGTCTAATTTACAGGAAGACTAAGGTAACCTGGCCCAGAATTTATATTTATAGACTATTTCTGTGAAGTCCTGGTATGGCACTGTAGGATAAGTATCGGACTGCTACCTTAAGGTTGATGGTTCAAACCCACTTTGGAAACCCAGAACTGAGTAGCTAGCACTTCACACTATTTCTGTGTAGTACCAGCAGCTTTAAATAAAAGAAAGACATGCATCTCCAAGTATGTCATTCAAGATTTTAGGAAAGGTAAACAAAGGAGCTCTGGTAGCGTAGTGGTTACGAATCGGGCTGCGAACCTTAAGGTCAGTGGTTCGAAACTACCAGCCGCTCCGCGGGAGAAAGATGAGGCTTTCTACTCCCATAAGGATTTACACCCTCGGAAATCCTGTACAAGGTTCACTATGGGTCGGCTCCGACTCGAAGGCACTTAACAACAACAACAAACACAGGAAGTAGAAGTCTGGGGACTTGAAAATAATGTAAATACTTTCCCAACACATGTTTTTTATTGGTCTCATATATTTTTTGTTTTAGATGACACCGATTTATGCAATGGTAAGCCAGTAGATGGACTGACTACTTTACGCAATGGGACATTAGTTGCATTTCGAGGTGAGCTATGTCCACACTTCTTTTTCTTCCCATCATTTTGTTCTTGGCATTAATGAGAACATTATGGGCAGGAGGGGAACCTGACTGATGAATTTGTATTTTACGCATGAAACAATCTAGGTTTGTATTCCATTCTACTTTTATTTGAAAACAGCATTCTCATTGTGGTATGTTCATTTGTTAAGACTCTCCATAGGAGAGTAACAGAATGATATGACTTTCCCCTCTGCTGTACTGTCTGCCACTCCAGTCTCTTCAAATGTAACTACAGTCATTAAATCTAAAAAGAAACAAGTCATAGACTCACACCTAGCGAGACTTTTGTGGTCATTTAATTGTAAGAACTCCGTTATTCTGAAAGATAAAAGAATTTGAAGCGCAGGTAAGTGACTTTCCATTAGTCACAAAACTATCAGCATTCTAGAGACACAAGAAAATGAATAATTCTAAGGTTATATTAAACTTCAGATAAGAAATATTAAAATCCTACTGTTCACTGCATTAACTCAACTTTTTAGTTAATGCTTGTTAACATACTGAACTTGCTTCATAAGCCAGTTAGATTTTCAGTCTGGTTGCTTTAGAGGTGGATTTCTGTTTTTAGTTGGTATACTAATCTATTTCTTTAAATATTAGGTCATTACTTCTGGATGCTAAATCCATTAAGTCCACCCTCTCCACCTCGTAGAATTACTGAAGTTTGGGGTATTCCCTCTCCCATTGACACTGTTTTTACTAGATGCAACTGTGAAGGAAAGACGTTCTTCTTTAAGGTAAGGAAACCATCCTTGTGAGGGAAATAAGCACAGTTAAATGTATTTCTGAACTAAAACAAAAACAAAAACTGTTGTCCTAAAGTGGATCCTAAAGCAACTATGATCACCTACATCAGCTTAATTTCCACTTTAGAAGTATCCTCACATTTTAATAAACTGTCATCAAAGTTTAAAACATCAATAATATATAGAACCATTTAGCTAAGTTAAAAATTTCACCCTACACTTATATCTACACCCTACACAAGAACCATTTTTACCTAAGCTATGGTAACATCATTTTCTCTTTTAAATTACCAGGATTCTCAATACTGGCGTTTCACCAATGATATTAAAGATGCAGGATATCCCAAACAAATTGCAAAAGGATTTGGAGGACTAAATGGAAAAATAGTGGCAGCTCTTTCAATAGCCAACTACAAAAACAGGCCTGAATCTGTCTATTTTTTCAAGAGAGGTATGTGTTATTAGTCAAAATTACCAAATTGATTTGCCAAGGAATTTTATTCAACGTGTTCATCTTATTACTGGGTTTACTAAGATATCTATGATGGCTGAATCAAATATTTTTAATGAAAAAAAATTTGAAACCAGTAAGAATTTAGATTTCTTGGCATACAAATATCACAATTCATCTGAGTCTTTCAGGTCACTGATAAAAGAATGTCATCAATTATTTTCAAACAAGTCAAGTAAAGGAGATAACTGCAGTAAACATGGATTTATACTTTCAATAAGTCTTTCAGGATTTAGTAATCATTTTGTAATACCTTTTAGTAATAACCTTGACATGTAACAGCTGAACATTTTATGAAAAACCATTAAAAAAAAGAAGATACTTCACCTTTATAAAAGCTCATTTTTAGCCTTTTTGGGAATTAAAATTAACATTCATATTGTATGTGATTTTCTAATATATAATAGGTGGCGGTGTTCAGCACTATATTTATAAACAGGAACCTGCCAGAAAGTGCCCTGGAAGAAGGCCTGCTCTCAACTATCCAGTGTACGGAGAAACGACACAGGTTAGGCGGCGTCGCTTTGAGCGAGCTGTAGGACCTTCTCAAACACACACCATCAGAATTCACTATTCTCCCGCCAGAGTCACTTATCAAGACAAAGGTAATTTTCTTTGTGTTGTGCTAAAAATGTTTACACATGAACTACACGTCATAGCTTCATATCGAGTAAAAGCTTATTAAATATGTTGACCAAGTAGCCCTAATAATTTCTTTGTGGGTAACAATGCAGTTTATTCAAGCTTGTTACTTAGAATAGATACAATTTATTAAGTGCTGCTCTTCCCAATATAGTAAACTGCCTTTGAATCTGAAATCCTTCATTAAAAATGTCATCTGCAGGTATTCTCCATAATGAAGTTAAAGTGAGTACACTGTGGAGAGGACTTCCAAATGTGATCACCTCAGCCATATCACTGCCCAACATCAGAAAACCTGATGGTTATGATTACTATGCCTTTTCTAAAGGTAAGTTCTTTAGTAAAACCTCATTAGCTTCCGAAGGACAGAACTACAGCTTCTAAAATAGGAATTTCATCAAAGCAAAAAGTGGTTTCTAAAGGCAAGATGGTGATGGTTTTATGTGCCATGAAGTCGGTTCCGACCCTGTACAGGGTTTCCGAGGCTATAAATCTTTACGACAGCAGAAAGCCTCATCTTTCTCCTGCGGAACAGCTGGTAGTTTCCAACTGTTGACTTTTGAGGTTCGCAGCCCGATTCATAGCTATTCTATAACACTGTAACTGCTCAGACCCAGATAGAGTTCTGCTGTTTTAATTTCAATTAAACTAGATGGAACTTCATGAGATAAAGTTAAATATAAATAGCCAACAGTAAAGCTATTACTGAAAGTAGTCTTTTATTCCTATGTTAACATGATATGGCTGGTCTGCCACAAAGTTATACTGATTTGAATCATTACTTAATCCCTAACATTAGAAAGGAGTACTGGAGTGGCACTGTGGGTTAATGCGCCGGCCTGCAAAGTCAGTTTGAAACACAAGGTCGGTGGCTCAAGCTCACCAGTTGCTCAAGGGAAACCCTATACAGGGTTGCTGTGAGTTGAAACAGACTCACAACAGAAAAAAATTTTTTTATTATATTACCTAGAATACTTTGGCAGGAGGAGAGACGGGAAGTACAGAAGTCTAAGTTATTCTGTTTAATGCTACATTTACTAAAAAACGGGACTTGAGCCTAATTTTACTGAAAGATGTTAAAAAGTTCATTAGTGCAACTGTTTTTCTTTACGTTGGAAAGCTCAAATTAATTAAAGCTCTAAAGCTCAAGTTTTCCAGGTTCTTTTAAATAATAAAAATACTGTTTCTCTTTTATTTAGATCAATACTATAACATCGACGTACCAAGCAGAACAGCAAGAGCAATCACAACTCGTTCTGGGCAGACTCTATCTAAAATGTGGTACAAATGTCCTTAGACTGATGGACAAAGGCAGAGCCAACCCACTAAAAACGAACAAGAGAAAAATAAGTGTTGACAATGAAAAACATTTATTAATAAAGAATGTTGAGACGAGCATTATCAATTTAAATAGAAAAATGTTTTTTATGCTTGACAATAACACTTCAACAAATTTGGCAATCTTACTTACAATTACTAGTTTACAGAAACCTTAATTAATGTTTCCTCTATTTATACCTCCTCTCGCTCCCACTGCGTGGCCCATACCTGCAAGAGAAAAAAAGAATCAAACTGAATGCATCTTTTAAGAAGCTAGCCCCAAACTAGGGTAATTCACTTATCCTAGTTCATTATAAAAATTGTGTTAGATATTCCATATCTTCAGTGGAATCAGTGGAAATCATAATATTTAACAAAATGACAAATAAGTAGGGAATGTAACAAATATAAAGTATGTCTTTGTAGTTACGTGCAGCTGAGTCAGTTCCAACCTGTATAGCAGGGGTGGGGAACCTTTTTCTGCCAAAATGTACATCATTCAGGGGTCACACAAAATAGTTAAAGTTAAAAATTTGGTCATTTAATTAATTCAACACTAATATGATGGCTGAAATTGTGGTTGCCTTGGCAGGGCCAGACTAAATGATTTAAAGGAGCTCTGGTAGCGTAGCGGTTACAAATCAGGCTGCAAACTTCAGGGTCAGCAGTTCGAAACTAACACGTTCCGTGGGAGAAAGATGAGGCTGTCTGTGCTCCCGGAAAATTATTAACAGTCTTGAAAACCCTGTACAGGGTTGCTGTGAGTTGGAACCGACTCCACAGCACATAACATATGGCCTGTGGGCCGAATGTCCCTCACCCCTGTTATATAAGGTTTCTGAGTAGCAGCTTGTGGGTTTGAGCCACCAATCCTGAGGTTTAGCAATTCAATGCTTATTTTATTGAGCCATACCAGGACTCAAACATAAAAGTATCTATTTATAACATATGGAACCTTCCCTAGTGGCTCAGTGGGTTATGTGTTGGGCTGCTAATCACAAATTAGCAGTTGGTACCCACCAGCTAAGCTGATCCTTGGGTGAAAGATGAGGCTTTCTGGTCCCATAAAGATTTACACAGCCTCAGAACCCCTATGTAGGGTTGCTGAGTTAGAATTGACTTGACAATATACAACACTTAACACACTAATGGTATGTATCAGGCAGTCTGCAATAACTGTACAGATTACTAAATCAACATCTAAAAGCTTATATTTGGAGTCTGTAAGATAAGCTCTGGACTGCTGATTGTAAGGTCTGGCAGTTAAAACTCACCAGTACATATACAACTCAGTGATACTGATTACATTCTTCAAGTTGTGCAACCATTCTCACACACCTTTTCTGAATTGTTCCTCCCCCATTAACAAACTCACTGCCACCTAGCTCTTCCTAGCCAACCTTTCAAGTTGCTATTGTCAGTTTGATACCCTGGAAGCGCATTTTAAAAACTAGATGTAAGTTGAAAGCTTGAGGTTTAGAAAATTTTGCCCATTAATAACCACCCCACATCTTACCATATAATCAGTATGTTAGAAATTTACCTCGCTGCCTATTAAAGTGACGGCCACGGACACCCTGTCTCAATGTTGTCTGAAGTCTTACACGTCTGAAAGGCTTTGACTGATGACTACTAGTATCTAAAAAGGTGAAAAAAAAAAAACAATGGCAAAAACGAATCACTAAATAGAAGCATTGATAAAATCCAGGTTTCAGTATTATTTAGATATATTGAATTACATTATTAAATATTGTAATGTTTTAACAACAAAAACATAAGCATCAAGTGAAAAAGAAAAAATCCTTACTTAAAGAGTAAGTGTTTGGTAACTGAAAATTATTAGTGCCTACCATGTATTAGACAATGTGGTAGGTGCTGGGGAATACAATAGTAAACAAACAATAGCACTCTCAGAAAACAAGTGAATTCCAGTATTTACAAGAGTCATACTTGACATCCTGCCAACTCTAACTGAAAAACATATCCCAATTCTGACCATTTCTCTTCATTACAATCTCTACCACCCACCTTGCATTACTGTAATATTCTCTGAATGCTCTTCCTTTCTATCCATTATTCATTTTTAGTCTCTTCTCTACACAGCTGCCAGACAGATACTTTAACTTGTAGTCAGAGCACACATGTCTTCCAAAGTCAAGTATTATCATCTATTTGGTCTATCCCTCCTTTATACAAAATGAAATTTTCCTTTTAAATAGAGCATTTTAAAATTCAGGAAAAAATTATCAAATTGTTACTAATAAAATGGTTATCTTTGCAAGCAAGTTTGCATCTAAGCTGTAATGTAGTCAGAGCAGAAACTCACCTACAGAGGAGCTAGAAGGAGGATCTTGGCTGGTAGAAGGAAGATCTGACTCATCAGATGCCTGAACAGGCTCTTCTTCCTGCTGGCTATCAATTTCTAGGCCAGCCTCAGAACTAATACTAAGAAAGGAAGACAAAGATAAAGGAAATACAAAAAACATACTCTAGAATGTTTCCTAAGTTGTTCCCCAACTTTTTTTGGTAGAGTTTTATCACTTACATAATACAGATCTTCCTCAACAAGTCAAAATTATAGACTCTGCTATTTTAAAAATAATTTAAAGGGGCACAGGGAAGAAAAGATGTTTCACACTAACACATATTCTAACATTAGTATTTCCTCTTTTCACGCTATCATTTTTTTCTTCTTGTGACAAAGAATTCACATTCTTGACACTAATAGCAGGTATACCATCCCGATTCCAATTAATTCCAAAAAAATTTTTGTGGAAGACAGATTTACAATAGTTACAACTGCAAGGTCAGTGGTTCAAGCTCACCAGATGCTCCTTGGAAATCCTATATGGGGTTGCTATGGGGTGGAACCCACTTGACAGCACTTCAGAACAACAACAACAAAATACTTAATTGAACCACCACAAAGTAACTAACCATGGACTCTAGCCAAGATGAGCTGGGTTGTGGCTACGTGAAAATTCCTGGTTCACTGGCTATAAACTCCATCTTTCCCGCATTCAAAGAAGAACCTCAAAAAAAAGTGGGGATGACTTGCATCTGCTCTGGTTTTTACAGTTATAAACTGGAGTCCAATTATTAGTAAGCACGACTGTAGACTGAAGTGGAAAAGTGCTGATGAAGTGTAAATAACTTGGGGGCAGGGTCAAAAAGTGTCTGCATTCAAATCCAGGCTGTGCCACTTGTATCAGTGTGTACCCGCAACAAGTTATTTCAACATGATCTCAGCCTGAGTGTACTTATTAGCAAAATGGAGATATTTTCCAAAAATATTTTTTGGTTTAGAAACTACCTATGTCAAATGAACTGTATAAATGGCATACAATTAGGGGTAACTAGTATTTTATCAGTATGACTCTGTAGAATATGCAATGGACTAATATAACCAAAAGGTCAGCAGTTCAAACTCACAAGCCACTCCCTGAGAGAAAGATGAGGCTTTCTGCTCCATAAAGATGTATAGCCTCGGAAACCCCATACAGGGCTGCTATGATTTAGAACTAAAACTTTGGCAGTTAATAGCAGTATTATCAGTATTACAAACAGTATTATCAATATTAAAAGTATTACAAATTATGTAGCACTGTGCTGGAAAATGACAACCAAAACTAAAACAAACCCACTGATTCTGACTCACTGTGACCCTAAAAAACAGTGTAGATCCATTCCTTTGGGTTTCAAAGACTGTAAATCTTTACAGAAGCCAATAGCCTCAACTTTCTCTCATGGGATGGCTATTGAGTTCAAACTGCTGACCTTCAGATTACCAGCCCAACGCGTAACCCACAACACTACCAAGACTCCTTGAAAATAATAGACTTCTTTGGTTATCCTCATATCCAGCAGCTGCTTTATAATTATTCCACAAAAATGTCACCAAATCAAACAGTTCTTGAATTCTACCTAGGAAATCTGGGGTCTACTTTTAGCTATGCTTCTAACCATGCAGTGTATCCTTAATTCCTAATTTTATAAAAAAGTAGTGTCCACCTTTAAAGTTAAAGCTTATCCAGATAATTTGTCACACAATAATTATTTTGTTAAAGCTTTCTAATGGATAAATTAAAAATGAAACAGTGCTCTTGAGAACTAGTAGAAGAATCTCTTAATTTTTATGAAGCCAGTTTCTCAGACACATAACCAAGTGTGAGGACCACAGGAAAGCCCACAACTAAATGGAAAGTGAGTCATTTCCTAATATTACTAATTTTCACAAAAAGGCTTCTTTTTTTGGGAAAAAAGTTCAAGCAGCCACTTTAATGGAAGAGTAGCAATGTTTTTAAAGAAATGATTTGTATCCGATCATATCATGCAATTTTCAGGGAGACAATGCTTTCTAAAATCCTGTCTTCTATAATACTGATATACCTAGTATTCATCAGACATAGAACACAAGTAACCTGGAAAGAGGAAGTAGAATAGGTGAGTTTGATGTTGTGAGGACAACAAAGAAATAGTGAATTTTTTCCAAATTTGGATGACAGTGACTTTTGTTATCATATGCTACTGAATTCTTAATTCTAACAAATTAATCCAATAAAAAATGTATTATACTAGATGCAAAAATTTGTTTTTCAAAACAGCTTGGTTTATTTACTGAACAGGATACAAATGTAAACACAACTGAAAGGACTGTTTCCTAATTAAAAAAAAAAAAAAATGTACATGTCTGGTGAGTCTAAAGGAAGAATTACAAAGTAAACACTTACCCTTCAGATTCTGCCTCCACAAATACTTCATCACCATCATCACCTGTTGCTGTATCATTTGCTGTGGATAAAGTGCTGGTGGATGTTGTCACCATTGGGACAGACTGAGAGGCATGCTCTGAAGCATCAGAAGTGGCACTCTCTGTAAATACGGTCACTTCAAAATAAAAGACAAGAAAGCAGTGATTATTTTAAATTTGCAGCTTCTCCAATATCTAATCAGAAGTTGTCTCTTAAGTGTCCACCT